TTCAGTGTTCCACTCTTAATATGTACAGAACAGAGAACAAATGATAACCAGAAATTTGAGGTAAGTCTGTAATATGCCAGAAAACAAAGAAGTCTGGAAGAAACTATGCAGAAAAAGGCAAACTTTAAAAAAAAAAAACATTAACATTGTCAGTAGGATTTTAAAGTTATTACCCTTGTGAAACAAGAGCAAGATGCTAAAGGAACATTCAGACCTCAAAAAAAGCTTGTAAAAATCAACACATAAAAGTAATAAAAATACAATTGAAAAAATTAGAGGATCTATCTAAGAGTTCCAACATTGAAAGAGAGAGAACACAGAAAGAATTTTTTTTAAACTCAAGAAAATTTCCCCAAACTGAAGGACATGAGTTTCCAGATGGAAAGAATGCACAGGAAAGAGGTAAAAATAAATATACAACAAAGCATATTATTGTGAAATTTCAGAGCACTGAAAACAAGAAAGAATTTCCATAAGCTTCCAGAGAAAAATCAGAATTTTAAAAAAGTCATAAATAACATTTGATTTCTCAACAGTAACAAGAGCAAGAAGACTGGGGGTTTGAAAAGAGGGAGACAGCAACATTCTGAGGGAAAATGATTTACAAACTAGAATTCTATACTTAGCTAAACTATCAAGGGCAAGAACAAAATAAGATTTTCACTCCTGAAAGGCCTCAAAAATTTAACCTCCCATGCACTCTTTTTCAGAAAGTTACGGTTTGTATTAATGTAATTTGTGTAGAGACTACTGCTCTACAAAAATGATGCACAATAATGATAAAATGATAAATGATATATTAGGACCTGCCCAAATATAGGAAATATTTTAGTGTAGAAGAAAGGGGCAGGAAAGCTAAATATTCATGTTCCATAACGGGAAGACTATATATAATACCTAACACTAGAAAGTCAAGAAGTAGTAGAATAAGTACATTACTTAGAAATGAAGGTAAAATGCTAAAACCAGCAGCTAATAAAAGTTGGTAAAAATTCTGTTTAAATACCTGGCATATAAAAGACATTCAATGAATGTTGGTTGAAGTGCACTGACATGCAAAATAATAAATATAAGCTTTAATATATGTCCAAATTCAAACCCTTTGTAAAATATTAGGAACCATTTTTAAAGATTTTTCCCCCTCTATTTAACCCAACTACCTAAACTTTCTTGATGACAAAATAAAATCAGCTATTGTTTTTAGAAATATTCTCCAAAAAAGATTAGTGATGTTTCTCAAATGAAAAAACAATCATTCATATTTCACCACAAGAGAATTTGATAGCACTATTGATAGCTAATAACCTCTCTGGATAGCCAAAGCAGAAATCAAATCCAATATACACTGGAATTAAGCATTTCTTCTCAGAATGTTATTAGTGATTTGGCCACAGTGGATTTAAACCTTAGCTTAAAATGCAGATGAGTGATTAAAGTATACTAAAAACTTACAAGTCAAAAAAGAATTTACTTTTTAAGCAGCATATTTATAAAGTTTTCCTGCTTATTGTTGAAAAATTGTATTTGTCATGAAGAAAGGATGTTTTGTTTTGCATTAGGACAAGAGAGAAACCTTTTTTATTCAAGCTTAACATTAAATGTCAATAAAGTTTTAGATAACTAAAATGTATGGAAAATTAGCTGATCATAAAAATATAATAATTGAACTATCATTAAGATAAGCAAGTCTTTATAAAGTCCTCCATTCCATGTTTCCATACATCAATGTCATGAACACATTTAAATCACCACAGTAAAACTGGAAATAATATTGTTTTAGAAAACCTCCCAATTGAGGTGAGTTGAAATAAATAAATGAGCCCAGGAGTAGTCAATACAATTTCATTTATTCATCCATTCATTAAGTAAACATTTCCTCAGTAAACCTCCTATGTGCAAGGCACTGTTTCCTAGTCTCTAAAGTACAGGATCACTTACTCCTAGGTGTGTTTTTTTCTCCTCTTCTATAAACCTGAAAACAAAACATAAATCAAGGAAAATCAAGGATCCATTTACATAGAATTCCTACTAGGATGGCTAGAATTAAAAAGCTGGATAACAAATATTGACAAGGATGTAGAGAAATCAGAACTCTCATACACTGGTTGAGGGAATGTAAAATGGTGCAGTCACTTTGGACAACAGTCTGGTAGTTCTTCAAATGATTAAACATCGAGATACCATATAATTCAGCAAAGAGAATTGAAAACATATGTTCATACAAAAATTTGCACGTGAATGTGTATAGCACCATTATTCATAACAGCCAAAAGACAGAACAACCCAAATGTCGATCAATGGACAAATGGATGAATAAAATGTGATGTAGTCTTGCAATGGAGTATTGTTTGATCATAAAAATGAATGAACATCAATGAATTTTGAAAACATTATACTAAGTGAAAGAAGCCACTTACAAAAGACCACATATTACATAATTTCATTTATATGAAATGTGCAGAATAGGGAAATCTATATGTAAAGAGTAGATGAGTGATTGCTTAGGACAAGGAGGGGTGGGAATTGGGGGGAAAGGTGGGATGATAGCTAAAGGATATGGGGTTTCTTTTTCAGGTAACGAAACTGTTGTAAAATTTATTGAAGTGATGGTTGCACATACCTGTGAATATACTAAAAAACACCAAATCGTACACCTTGAATGAAATATGAATGAATAAATTCATAAAAAGAATGAATTATGTCTCCATAAGGCTGTTTTAAAAATAGCATTTAAGATACAATGGAAAACACAGCATTTGGACTATGGTTTATTAACGTGGTATCTAAATACTCTCACATCTGGAGAGATCTCATTTGTTTGGCTGTAAAGTAGGAAATGATTACTGATGCTATGTAAACTATTACAAATACTCCAGGTAAACATTTCATTTACAACTATAAAAATATTAGAAGTTGGAAAAAAATAAAATGCAGGCATCTAGGAACTTAATACATATTCGGGACATTAAGCAATTAGAATCGGGGGTGGTATAGGGAGGGGTGAGGTAAGCAAGAAGAATTAAAGAGCTTGCATGAAAAGCCTCAGTCTAGAAGACTCCTTCCTTTACCAACCTGCTGTGATGCCAAAAGAACAACACTCCTTTGTATATAGTGTAAACCTTATTTTTCAGGAAGCTAAAAATAATCACCCATATGATTTACTCCAGTAATAAGTAGGAAGTCAAGTAAATACTAAGGGCCAAACACAAAGAGATTTAGTAAAGAAACAAAAAGCTTAAACAGCTCCCAGGAATGCCTATCTGGAAGTTTCAGCAAGTAGCATGCATTATTGCTTTTTCCAGACAGGACATAATATGATCTGTGCATAGCACACAATTCCACTACTGAATATTTTCAACCTGTGTCGTTTTCAGTCCAAATAAAGTGTGTTTCTGTGTTTGCCTTGTGTAATACACCAGTTAACCTATTCAGTCTCATTGCAGAGATCTTGGTATACCTGGTCGCCAGGGTCCAGTTTACCTGACCTCAGGAATCACCAATGCCAGTGACAAGGAAATGCCCATGGGAGTGGGGGTAGCATTAGGGATTTTTTTATCCTTATTAAATTTTAGATCCTTCCTTGGTCATTACAAACAGCCTGCCTGGTTCACCATCAGGCCAAGCCTGGTACCTCATAGAGCACTGTGCCCAGTTTCAAACCAAAATTAGGGGTATTTGGGGGGCAGGAGGAGGGTGGTGGCAAGGAGGAAAACAACCAAAGGGAGGACTGGCTTTCTCTACAGAGCCTCAGGTTTCAAAATGACTGCCTTGGAAGCTGAAATGACCCAGATTATTGGGGAAGGGATGGGGTGGGAGAAATGACAGACATTCATTCTTCAGCAGGGTGGCTGTGGCTTAGTGTGGGAATGGGGAACTTGAGGAGAGGGGGGCCCTCTACATGGAAAGAGAAATAAAGGGGAATGTTCTTTAGGTACCACCCACCCTTCCAAGTGAATCACTGCAGTGTCAGCCCAGCACTGATTCCACGAATTGCCAAACAGGATGAGGTAAGGCACAGCTTTGAGCCCCCTCCTCCTCCTCCCCCGCCCCCCTGCGCTCAGCAGAGCGCATCTCTCTGCGAGGTGTACCACGCAGCACCCCCTCCCAGACCTCAGCTGAGGAGCTGACGTCACCTTTCTGCATAGAGCTTCAAGGGCCGGTAGCAGCACCATTTAGAAAGGGAGCAGAGTTGGGGCTCTATTGCTGTCACCAACTGGCGGGGGTCCTCCCCCAGGACTCTGCAGATTGCGCTCACGCATTGAGAAAACACCAGATGAAAAGTGTAAGGGTGAAGGGGAATGGGAAAAGGGCCGTAAGAACCATCTCCTGGATCGCCAAGAAAGCTCCAAGATGCCGCTGGTTTATATAAGAACCTCTGCCCTCCGTGCGTTTCACGCAGCGGCAGTGGCACCCTCCTCCCGGCCCCCCCCCCCCCCGCCATCAGTGAGCTTGGGGACCTCTGGTCACCCTTGCCCTGCCAAGCAGGCACAAGGCTCCTGGCGCCTCCGTCTCACAGCCCCGCGGGGTTAGAAATAACCAGGAATCTGGGATCAAATCTTGCACTCCCGCGCCCGTTCCCATCTGGCCACAGGTTAGTTCCAGTTGGCACCGTGAACAGACTGGCAAGGGAGGTTGAGGAGGGGTGACCAGAGAGGCAAATAGTCGAATAAACCCACAACTTTCCCCAGAGGCTGACCCTATCCAGAGAGCTTAAAAAATAAATCAATGCATTAAAAATTTTATGGAATGGTCGACAACCTACAGTCACCGCCACAACGCAGCCCTTTGCAGCCTGCGCTGGGCAGGGTCCAGGGTTCAAGCAGCCCCAATGTACCCCGCCATCCTGCAGCCCCGGCCCAGCACCCTGCGCCAGTCTCCTTAAGGAGGGGGTCGGGATTTGATTTTGGGTTTAGGGTTTTTCCTCCCCCTTCCTTTCTCAGAGCATCATTGCACGGACTGACCCTCGGCGGTCCGGCCACGGGGCCGGCGTGGCCACTCACCCAGAAGACGAAGGAGTAGATGATGAGGAGGGTTTTGAGACAGGTTATCACAGGTTTGGTCTCCATTCTCCTCGATGCCATACTACAGAGCTCCGGCGGGCGGCGGCGGCAGCGACAGGCGGCGGGCGTGCGCGCGGGCGGGGGGAGGAGGCGGGGCAGGGCGGGGCGAGGGCGCGTGCCGCGAGAGGCTGCGCGCGCGCGCAGGCGAGGCAGTGCGCGAGCGTGAGCGCGCACACCGCGAGGGACTCACCGAAGGAGCTGGGGTCCAGCCGCGACTACGCCTGTTGCCCAGGCTTCCCGCCAGGCTAAGGTCACGTAGGCTCAGAGCCCTAGCCAAGGAACGGCACCCGGCAGCTGGGAGGGATGGGAGAGACTGGAGGCCTAGTCGAAGGTCAGGGTTACGTCTTCCAGGGTGGCTTGGCAAGTAAGTTTCTGCTTTGTACATAGCAGGGCTTTGCATTTGCCAGGCTCTCTGCACCTGGCTACACAAAGTTTATTAGTATCCCCGAAAAGCAATCTTGTTCCTACATTTGGATGCCCTACCAGGCCTTCTCAGATGGAAGTGGCCCAGTAGTCATGTCCTTGGAACAAGCAGGCCTTGTCTGTGCCAGGAACAGACCATGACAGGTGGCTGGAAATACAGCTGGAGGGATGGTCAGGAACACTGGAGCTCAGATGCCCCAAATTCTCAACACAATTTTTTGATTTCCTCACATTTTGAAATGATGAAACTGAATAACAAGAAGTTTCTCTATGAAAGTACCATTCTTCCTGTGCCGAAAGTGTTTAAAGGTAACAGAAAAAAATGGTCAAAATGCCCAGAATCATTTCCCCTACCCTAACAAGTACAGACTAGGAAAGACCAGGAAAGAAAGCTGTATCAAGGTCAAAAAATAATGTTCAAGAACAATTAGGAAGTTCCTCAAAAAGATAAGAATACAGTTACCATATGACCCAGCAAGTCCACTTGTAAATCTATACCCAAGAGAAATGAAAACATATCTTCACACAAAAGCTTGTACGTGAATGTTCATAACAGCACCATTTCATAGCCAAAAAGCAGTAACAATCCCAACGTCCATCAATTATTAATGGATAAACATAATGTAGTGTGTACATACAATGAACAATTATTGGCCACAAAAAAGAATGAAGTACTGATACAACACGTATGAACCTTGAAAATATGCTTAGTGAAAGCAACTAGACAAAAAAGAACACATTTTGAATGATCCAGTTTTAGGCAACCTCCAGAACAGACAGATCCATAGAGACAGAAATAGATTAGTGGTTGCAGGGGGGGCAGCAGGAATGAGTGACTGTTAATGAGTAGGGGAGTTCTTTGTGGAGTGACAAAAATGATATGGAATTTGTGGTGATGGTTGCACAATTTTATGAATAATCACTGAAATGTACACTTTAAAAGGATGACTTTTATGGCATGTGAATTATATTTGAAAAATAGCATACACTCCACCCAGATTTCCTGTGGTTCCTTTGTTGAGGAATACACAGTACAGATTCTGTGGGAGATGTAGCTTGATTCCTGAGCAACTCTGAAAAGTAGCGACACTATCACAAACTAACTCAATCATGAATGATGTTAAAGATATTTCTTGTGAAAGAGTTAAAACAGTTAATATGGCTTGAGGAAAGCCTGCCAAGGTCAGTTGTTCCAGGAGTAATTATTACCTCCAATGAGTTGTACATGGTCTCAGGTCAGTGAGGTCACCGTATAAACAGGACAAATACGACGAACAGGAGAACCTGCTTAAAGAAATGGTCAAATATAACACAAGGTTATGTGGGTTTAGAGGGCTATGGAGATGAATATAGATGCTGGTGAAAAAAGGTTAAGAAAAGATTGTCAAAGTTTCCATTATAAAGGAAGACCCATCATAATGATTCTCAATTCTGGTTGCTCATTTGTATCACCCAGACAGCTTTAAAGGAAAAAAGTATGACTGCCTGTGTCCAATCCCAGGTAGCCTGAGTCATTTCATCTGGGTGTAGTCTCAGGGGTTTTTACAGTTCTTTTAGGTGTTCCTAATAGGAATCAAGTTGAGGGACATTGTCCCAGCTGCAATGAGCTTAAACCCAACTTCAGAAAGGAGTTTCTCCTCCTTTACAGTTTCCCAGCAGCAGCAGGAAAAGGATGCTGAAGACTGCAAACCAAGTGGTTGCTCTTAACTTCAGAAAGTCTCACCCAATCATAAAAACTCTGTAAACAGATCAAAAATCTCAATTTTCAGCCCAACAGAGACATTACTGAGCATTATAGATAATTTTATGTGTTAATGTATGATATTCATACATGGCACCCATCAGCTCAACTAACACCATTTCATAGTTTTTCTGTAATTTTTTTTAAATAATTAATTAATTAATTTTTTATTGTTCAAATACATTTGTCTCCATTTACCCACCACCACTTACCCTTCCCCACCCACCCCCACCTCCCCACCTCAATCCTTCCCCACCTTGGCTTCGTCCATGTGTTCTTCATACCTATTCCTTGATCTGACCCTTCCTCTTCCCCTCCCTGCTACCCCCTTCCCTGTCGATTTCTTCTTTCTTTCAACGTTGCTGGTCATGTTTCCTTGCACCTTTGTTTTGTTGGTTAGGTTCCACTTATAGGTGAGATCATACGGTATTTGTCTTTCGCCCCCTGGCTTATTTTGCTTAGCATAATGCTCTCTAGTTCCACCCATGCTGTCATAAAGGGTATTAGCTCTTCCTTTCTGCTGCATAGTATTCCATTGTGTAAATGTACCATAGCTTTTTGATCCACCAATTTACTGATGGGCACTAAGGTTGCCTCCAGCACTTGGCTATTGTAAATTGTGCTGCTATGAACATTGGGGTGCATAGGTTGTTTTGAATTGGTATTTTGTGATTCCTAGAGTATAATCCCAGAAGTGAAATCACTGGGTCAAAAGGCAATTCCATTTTTAGTTTTTTGAGGAAATTCCAAACTGTTTTCCACAGTGGCTGCACCAGTCTACATTGCCACCAGCAGTGTACTAGGGTTCCCTTCTCTCCACAACCTCGCCAGCAACCGTTGTTTTGATTTATTTATGATGGCCATTCTGACCGCTGTGAAGTGGTATCTCATTGTGGTTTTAATTTGCATTTCTTTGATGGCTAGTGATGCTGAGCATCCTTTCATATGTCTCTGGGCCCTGTGTATGTCCCCCTTGGAGAAGTGTCTGTTCAGGTCCTTTGCCCATGTTTTAATTGGATTGTTTGTCTTCCTGGAGTGTAGTCATGTGAGTTCTTTACATATTTTGGAAGATCAAACCCCTGTCTGAGGTATCATTGGCAAATATATTTTCCCATATGTTTAGCTCCCTTTTCATTTTGCTGATATTTTCTTTACCCATGCAGAAGCTTTTTATTTTGATGAGGTCCCACTTGTTTATTCTTTCCCTTATGTCCCTTACTCTAGGGGACATATCAGTGAAAATATTGCTGCATGGGATATCTGAGAGTTTCCTGCCAATGTTCTCCTCTAGGACTTTTATGGTGTCATGATTTATGTTTAGGTCCTTTATCCATCTTGAGTTTATTTTTGTGTATGGTCTAAGTTGGTTGAATTTCAATTTTTTCCATGTAGCCATCCAACTCTCCCAACACCATTTGTTGAAGAGGCTGTTTTTACTCCACTTTATGCTTCTGCCCCCTTTGTCAGATATTAATTGACCATAGAGACATGGATTTATTTCTGGGCTCTCTGTTCTGTTCCATTGATCTATGTGTCTGTTTTTATGCCAGTACCAGACTGTTTTGACTGCAGTGGCCTTGTAATATAGTTTGATGTCAGGTACTGTGATCCCTCCTACTTTGTTTTTCTTTCTCAAAATTGCTGCGGCTATTCAGGGTCATTTATGGTTCCATATAAATTTTTGAAATGTTTGTTCTATGTCTGTGAATTATGTCACTGGTATTTTAATAGGGATTGCGTTGAATCTATAAATTGCTTTGGGTAGTATGGACATTTTGATGATGTGAATTCTTTCAGTCCATGAACACAGTATATGATTCCATTTATTTGTGCCTTCCTTAATTACTTTCCTCAGTGTTGTATAGTTTTCTGTATACAGGTCTTTTACCACCTTGGCTAAGTTTGATCCTAGGTACTTTATTTTTCTTGTTGCTAAAGCAAATGGGATTTTTTGTTCCTGATTTCTGCTTGATATTTAATTCTTGTCATACAAAAATGCCGTCGATTTCTGAATATTGACTTTGTATCCTGCCGTATTGCCAAATTCACTTACTAGGTTGAGTAGTTTTTTGATGGAATCTATGGGGTTTTCTACATACACTATCATGTCATCTGCAAACAATAATAATTTTACTTCCTCCTTTCCAGTTTGGATGCCTTTTATTTCTTTTCCTTTTCTGACCACTGGGGCTAGGACTTCCAATACGATGTTGAATAGAAGTGTTGACAGCAGACACCCTTGTCTTGTTCCCAGTCTTAGAGGGAAAGCTTTAGTTTTTGCCCATTGAGTATGAGGTTGGCTATAGGCTTTTCATATATGCCTTTAATATGATGAAGTATGTCCCTTTTATTCCCACTTTGCTGAGTGATTTTATCATAAATGGGTGCTATACCTTATCAAATGCTTTTCCACTATCTATAGATATGATCATGTGATTTTTGTCTTTCCTTTTGCTTATGTGATGTATCACATTTATTGATTTACAAATATTGAACCATCCTTGCATCCCTGGGATGAATCTCACTTGATCAGGGTGGATGATCTTAATGTAATGCTGGATGCAATTTGCCAATATTTTGTTGAGGATTTTAGTGTCTATGTTCATCAGTGACATTGGCCTGTAGTTTTCTTTCTTTGTTGTGTCTTTATCTGGTTTTGGGATAAGGGTGATTCTAACTTCATAAAAAGAGTTTAGGAGTCTTCCCTGTTCTTGGATATTTCAGAATAGTCTGAGAAGAACAGATGTTAGCTCTTCCTTACATGATTTGTAAAATTCTGTGAAACCATCCGGTCCAGGGCTTCTGTGTGCTGGGAGTTTTTGATTACTGCCTCAGTTTCACCAGCTGTTATTAGTCTGTTCAGGCTATCTGTTTCTTCTTCATTCAATGTTGGAAGGTTATTTTTTCTAGAAATT